TAAGAACTGGGGCTTGAACTCAGGGCCTTCAGGGCCTTGCTCTTACTTGGCAGGCTCTCTACCACTTGAGCCATACCCTCAGCCCAATACTAGGGTTTGAATTCAGGGCTCTCATGCTTGCCATGCCCCTAGCCCTTTTTCCTTTAGAGGTTTTTTTGTATAGGGTCTCAAGTTTTTGCCTAGGGCCAGCATAGACCTCGATCCTCCTACTTTCACTCCGCACATGGCTGGGATTAGTCATGAGCCTCCACTACCAGCTTTTTTTGTTGAGCTGGGGCTTTACCTTTATACTGGGCTGGCCTTGAACACCAGGCCTCCCAGCCTCATCCTCCCAAGTAGCCAGGATTATAGGCATGAGCCACCAGCACACGGCTGTTTTTCTTTCCTGAAACTTCTGACGACAGTACCAGGTCTCTTGTTCTTTTTGGAACAGCAAGTTAGTCCTATCATTGCTTTTTAAAAATAGGTTTTGTGTTACTTTTCAACTGTGTATATATGCATGCAAGCATATTCTGTATTTAGATTAAAAGTCAAAAAATGAAATTACAGAAGCTTAGTTTTCATATGCTGGTGTTATCTAATGAACAGACTCTTTGCTAGTTGCTCCTTTTACATTTCTAACTTTGTTTTTGTTCAGGATCACGAATTTATCGTGTTTTTTCAGTCTCTAGCCTTTCTCTGGCATCGCTGAACACAGGTGATAACGAGAGTGTTCACTCAGGCAAGAGGACACCAAGGTAAATACAGAGCATTTGGATACTTTCCACAGAGAAGAATGTGGTATCTACATTATACAAAATTTTAAGTAAAAAAATTCTTTTAGTATTTTCATTTTATAACATCTGAATCATCATAAATTTCATAAATTTTGCTGATTTGGGATTATCTGGGGACTGGAGGTGTGGCTCAAGTGGTAAAATGCCTGTGTTTTAAGCACAAAGCCCTGAGTTCAAACCCCAGTCCCACCAGAAAAAAAAAAAAAAAAGTATAGGAGTATCTTTTAAAAAGAAATTATATAAAGAAGGCTATTCATCTTTCAATGTTTTTTATCATTTAGAATTTGAATTATTGACAAACACTAATAGTAATTATACAAAGGTGGTTGCTAATTTGATTATGATCGTTGGTAGAAATAGAAAATACATTATCTAGAATCAGCCTCTCTAGCTTATTTCCCAGTGAATATAAGAACTTTTCTATCCTGACATTAGAATAATGTAGGTTGCCTGCTTAAATTTAACACTTGAACATTTGAATTTAACACATCGACGACAGATCTCTTTGCCCTCTTTCTCTAGGATACAAATTAGAAGCAGAAAGTCAATGTCAGGAAGAATGTTTCTAGTGCAGGCATCAGCTTAGAGCTCTCATCTTTGCCATCTGACCATGTTAGCTGCCAGTTTCAGATGGAAAACATTGTTTCAACAAATAATTTATAGAGTGCCTACTAATTTCTGTAAATAAGACAAACAACATTATCACCATCTTACTTTTAAAACACTAGGTTGATTTTGGTTGATACTCTCACATATGCCCTCTGGCCCCCAAACATTCTTTCTCTGTTTGAGATGTAAAAAAATATATTATTTGCTATTTAGGTCAGAGTCTGTGGAAGGCTTCTTATCTCCAAGTCGCTGTGGCAGTCGAAATGGAGAAAAGGACTGGGAAAACGCATCAACAACCTCCTCAGTGGCTTCTGGAACAGAATATACAGGTCAGTGTGTCTGCTTTACGGAGACATTTGAATTTAGTACACTGATCGAATACCCATGAGCTATGCTAACTGAAGTTTTATTGCTGGTAAACAAAAACTGTAGGCACAAGCAATTAGGCAGTAACTTGTCCCTGATAAATAGAAATGGATTTCTAAACAAAAGTGGTGATGCCACTTCACATCTCATCCCTTTACTTTTCTTTCAAATGCTGGATCTGAAGAAGCTTCAGAGAAATTTGTTCAGGAGTGCACAGGTCCTTGTTACTGTGTAATGGCTAGAATCCCCAAGTCCTCTCCCCAACACTGGGATTTCAGGATCTAGAATCTGTACCTTTAATAATTCTAAGAGGCTCCAAAAGATAAGACTGTATTGGATCTAAGAGGGTATCTGACCTCACGCATCCCTACCAGGTCCTCTTCCAGCCTCTGTTTGAGTGGTATGATTTGAGGTAAAAGCAAATCAAAGAACAGAATTAGGTAAGGACCCTTGTACAGACATGAACCTGGAGAGACAATGAGAAGAAAGGTAAGCAGCACATTGAGAAGTGAAAAGGGAAGGCAAGAAAGCATAAATGGGAATGTCCGTGGGAAGGAGATAGCCCCATCTACCTGCAGTCCCACAGAAGTGGAAGCCTTGCGAAGCCCTAATGAACTTAGCACTGGCTAGAGATTTGTCTCTACTCCGGTTTTTAATAAAACCTCGTACAGCCAATCTGACAACCTTTAAAGCCTGGGATTGGACACCATCGCCCTCTTACTCCCTTTGCTTCTCTGTTAGTTTAGTTAAACAATCTGAGCAACTTGAAAAATAAGCTTTTTCTTGCTTTCTTAAAAGCTTAAATTACTTTTATGGGCCCATTCTACTTTAAGCTCACCAGTATATAATCTTACCAGACTTAAGAAAAGTTAGCAGAGCCAAGTGCCCATGGTTCATGTCTGTAATCCTAGCTACTTGGGAGGCTAAAATCAGGAGGATCGAGGTTTGAGGCCAGCCTGAGCAAATTGTTCGTGAGACCCTCATCTCTAAACCAGAGCAAAATGGACTGGAGGTGTGGCTCAAGTGGTCGAGCATCTGCTTTGCAAGCAGGAAGTTGTAAGTTCAAAAGTTGTCCCACCAAAAAGAATACAGGTTAGCAGACAGTGTGGATAAAGCTGTGTTTTTATTGGAGTATCACCAGGAAGATTTCAAGCATAGAATTTGGCTTTTTCTCATAGTTTCATCCTGTAGGAGCAATTATATCATTTTAAAGAAGTATTTCTGTCTTGGGAATGTTATTTTTATTATTGTTTTAAATGCTTACCACAGGACCAAAGCTCTACAAAGAACCCAGTGCAAAATCTAATAAACACATAATACAAAATGCCTTAGCTCATTGCTGTTTGGCTGGAAAAGTAAATGAAGGTCAGAAGAAAAAAATACTGGAGGTAAGCACATTTGCATGAAAGTTAAACTTAGCAACACTCTAAAACTGTAGGAGTCTGTTCTGCTAGTGCAAGAGAAAATACTCTCAGGCAGATTCCTAAAGTTCAACAGCATGTAAAAGGTCTGCAACGAGATGTTTAGTTATTAGATTGCATTAGTTCACTCAGCCTGCAAGACTGCATACCCAATTACAGACCCAGAACAGGCTTTAAGATTTGCCAGTAAATTAGGGCTAGGAGTTTGACTCAGTGGCAGAGTGCCTGCTTAGCAAGCACAGGACCTGGGTTTGATACCGAGCACTGCCAAAGGTAATAAAATAAGATATGTCATCAGATTTGACCAAGAAACATTACACAGTTATATAAACTTCATGCAGCAAAATGTTATAGACTTTTTATTATTATTTTCTCTTTTTTCGGTTTTCTATTCTAAAGGAAATGGAGAAGTCAGATGCCAACAACTTCCTGATCTTGTTCCGGGATTCAGGCTGCCAGTTCAGGTCTTTGTATACATATTGCCCAGAAACTGAAGAAATCAATAAGCTGACTGGGATAGGCCCTAAATCCATCACTAAAAAAATGATTGAGGGACTTTACAAATACAATTCTGACAGGAAACAGTTTAGCCACATACCTGCTAAAACTTTATCTGCCAGTGTTGATGCAATTACCATTCATAGCCATTTATGGCAGACCAAAAGACCAGTAACACCCAAGAAACTTTTACCTACTAAGGCATAGGAGTTGGGAAATACCTGCTTCAGAACATTTGTGGTAAGTTTGCACTTCCTCTTTCCTGCCTATAGAAAACCTTTCTAATTGCCAACAGACTTTATTCATTAAAACTGGACATTAACTGTTGTCATGAACAACTGGAATGTACACCACAGTATTTTGGAATGCAGAAGATTCTCACTTGGGAGATAAGTCTCAGTGATGAAGGAAATATTTGATTCACAAGTGGAGACTTCTATGTGTTGCCAGGTTTGCCTGCTGGTAGTAGAGACAGTGAAGCACTGAGTTCATGGACACAGTGGGACTATGGTTGAAATGTGGCTAGGATTGCAAATTATGTGTTGTGTTTGTTGCTTTTTTTTTTTTTAACCTTTTACTGTATATACTTGTCTTCAGATGATTTATTTTGTTGCTTTTCTCTCTTGGGAGTTTATTCTAAGATACCTTTGTATTTTGTTCTATGTGGAGATCATGAAAGTAGGAAGTACACCGTCAGAAGTAACTCGCACCTTTCTTATGATGTTAAGAAAAACACTAGTGTTATGTTTTACAATAAGCCTCATGTTTTAATGGTGTTATAGCATTTGCAAAAATTATTCTAAGTATTTACAATTCTGTATTATTTATTCACTCAAGTATTAACATTTCTCTACTAAATAAGAGGAGGTGTAAAGAGCTGCTAAATAGTTTGCTTTAAACCACATGAGCTTAACCAAGAATATGTTCTAAGAAGTTGCTGATTAAATCAGTGCTGTTTCACACCACTCTGGCCAACTTAGAATAATTTAGATTGTTCTTTTAACAAAAAAAACCTTTCTATATCTTTTAAAGTAAGTCACTTTATAAGCTGGCAGAAATGAATGACACTTTGAGAGTAGTCTTTCAGTATGAAGATGTAAGACTTCCTGAAACAAGTTCTCAGGGGGTCTTTACATTATATTTATAACTGATATAAAATTATATTTAGAATTTTAAAACATGTACAAAGGGCTACATTTTAATTTTAAAATAGCTTCACATTATTTTACTTCTATTGAGTTTTTCTTCTTTTTAATCCTTTTAAAGTGGAACAGCTTAGATTAAGGACACACTTGAAATCTCCTCTCATGATCTTTGTTCTTTAGCAATGTATACCAGAGGGTTAGTTGGGGAAAACCTTCATTCTCAGGAAAAGACTTGAATGATTATGTGACCCTGTTATGTTTCAGTGTTGTGACAACTGTGTAAACTGGGCGGGGGGGCGGGGAAGACAGTATTGTATCATAAATGAGATGTGTGGTTTGTTTTCTTTCATGGATGTAGAGATGAAAAATATATACATTTCTCTGAGTTGTTTGGAAAGAAAACTAATGTCTCACACGATGCATTTATTTTAAAAACAGATAGGAAGGAGATGGCCTGAGCTGTACTTTCTATCATGAGGCCTTCAGGCATCGGTGCATCTGGGTTATCAACATTTTCTCAAATGCTGTCAATATTTTACTGTAATTTATGTTCTTATATTTATGTATATTTGTTAAAACTGTAAAAAAAATTTCACAGATTTTTTTTCTCAATACTTGTGCAAGATATATGTGTAGCTCAAAACTATTCGTGATCTGCTGTTTGCATGTAAGAGACCAGGCTATGTAGCTCTTATATTTTCATTGTATACATATTATGTATATAGTATATGAATATTAAAATGGGGAATTGCACATTTTACCTTTCAGACAAGTTCTATTACAATGAGAAAGAAATGATCATCAAATACATGTTTGTTTAGATTAGGACTAGTTTAAAAATTCTAAGCGAACCTAATCAAAATGTGGTGCATAATAGTCAAAAGAAGGATTTAATAAGCATTTTACATTACTAAATTTTCTTTTCAGCCAGTTAAGTTTTCCTTATCAAAGAAATCTTGATTATTCCCTGGGAATTACATAAGGAAGAACTGGGCGCAAGACAGTGGAGGAACTGTCTCAGGCTAACAGGCTGACTGCCCTTGTCCCTAAACGTGAGTGTCCATGTGTCTGAAGGTAGAATGTGAATATGGCCGCAAAGTTCATTGCTCTCAGTATAACATTTTACTTTATTAATGCAAAAGGAATACGGATATATTTAAGTCTGCAGATTTTTTAATGATGGTGCAGCTTTTTTACAATTATGTTTTAAATTATACAAATGAAAACTAGCTATTTCATAAAGTTGAGGGATTTCTGTCAACCTTACTGAAATACACTGGTGCTTTCATCATCAGAGGTCAAATTATTATTACAATTATTGAATTGAATTTGCCAAACACAGTCCTAGCTACCAGTGTAGCCTGTCAGATTCTGCTATTTGACACAGCTTTGGAAAGCTTTTAATTCCTCTTGGCTTTTCGATTTTGTTTCAGAATGACTGTTACAGTTTTTATTTGGCTGTTTAAAGCCAGAGTCAGCTATTTTAATTATGATTTCACAGACACTGTTGGGCAATGTATGGTGTATGGCGTGTTTACCTGTCCACTCTAGAGCATTGCTTACAGGTTTGTAAAAGATGCTGTGCTGTAAAATACTGTCGTATTTGCTATTTCCTGGTACAGTGTAGTTCCCCTCGCGTTTGAATAAAAGCATGGCACCAAATGACCCCTTCCCTTTTTTGTTTCTTGAATAAAATGGGGCTTTGGTAAAACTACTTGAACTTAGGAGAACTCCTCACACTGTTTCCCTGCCTCTTAGTCTATGTTTAACAATTTAAATATTTATAAAAGGCAGTTTTTAATAATGGTAGATTTTGTTTGAATACTGACCTAAGGTAATGTTGAAAAGTCTGTAGCTTTCTAATGTTAGCGCAAATGGGCTGTGTTTATGTGGTACGTAAGTATTTGTGCTCCTTCTACATGAGTCATGTCCATATTATTACCACAATTCATACTCTGTACCTTTGAAATTAGTGTCTAGTGAACTTGCAGATCAAAGTAGCCAGAGGAATCCAGTTTGGGGAGGGTTAGGTTTTTGGTTTTATTTTGTTTTGAGGCAGAATCTCACTGCACCCAGCTTGGGAAGCCAGTTCTTAACTGTTATTCTGTAAGTTTCACTTTGATTCTACTTATTCAGACCAGGGCAAGAAAAAAAAAATCTGATAACAAAACAAGCAAAAAAATATCTTCATGCATAATTGTGTGCCTGAAGAAATTTTCCAGAGGTCTGCCTGGAACTTCTGCCTTTCAAGAGGATATTTGAGGTTCAGATCAGAGTTACACGTCCACAATACTTGAAGTACTTTTCCAAAATAAAAATATTTAACTCTGAAACCCAGGTGTATTAGAGAAGTATATACAAACCATGCTCCTCTCAAGCATACACACTCTTGAGTACTTTCCCTGAGGGGGCTAAGTGATGGGTCTCACTGGGGCAGAGGAAAATGTTCTGTAGTGACAGAACATGGCCTGTTGACACAGAGATAATAAAGAATAAAAACCTCAAGGAAAATACAACTGTAATTCTGTGACCTGGGAACCAGAGACTGTAAAAGGCATCTGAAAAATTAGTACAAAATCACATCATCCCCTCAAAATGTACAGATGCCTAAAAGTGGATCGGTGTCTTCTTACATGGAAGTTTTTCTTTTCTTTATTTCTGTAGTGTTGGAGATAAAGTCAGGGCCTTGCCCATGCTATGCAAGTGCTCTGTCACGGGGCTACATCATTATGTTACATTACATTACATTAAAAAAACTGAGCTATTTATGCTTTGGGATAAGTTGATGGAGGGCGGGGTATGGCACAGGTTGGTATGTCAGAGTTGCTCCTGAAATAGGAGCTCCAAGATCTAGTTTTAGTCTTCTCCTTTTTTGAACCTGTGGACATACAGGCCTTCTAGCACCTCAACATTTCAAAGTCAGATGCTAAGACATTCAAAATTAGCTTTTAGTAACACCAAGGTACTCATAACTAAAATCAGCTCAATCCACAGTAAGATATCTATGTAACAAAAATGAGGAAATGTTTACTTTCCATCGAAGAGGGTAAAAGCAAATGAGTTAACAAAGTATGTTCTAAGACCCACTAAGATATTTCTTTAACATGTTAAGCAAAGCCACAGGGCCCCTAGGCTACTGATGTATTTTATCCTGCTTACCCCCAGTCTATTGTGGCTGAATCTGTGACATCTTCCAATTAGCATTAGAAACATTGTGGAGCTGAAGGTCACAGAATAACATGTCATTTACAGCACGTTCAGTCCACAGTTTCACTTAGCTGCAGTGATTCCCAGCCCCACCTGGTTCCCATACTTCAGGGCTTGCCTGTTAACATGGAAAAGGAAATGTGTCTCCCAATCCTCCAAACAGTTAGAAATTACCACGTAAATGCTGCTTTACAGTTTTGTTTTGTTTTATTTTTTGCGGTACTTGGGCTTAAACTCAGAGGCTACACCTTGAACCACTCCACCAGCCCTTTTTAGTGAAGGGTTTTTTGAGATAGGGTATTGTGAACTATTTGCCTGGGCTGGCTTTGAACCACAGTCCTCCTGATCTCTGCCTCCTACTGAGTAGCTAGGATTACAGGTGTGAGCCACCGGCACCAGATTGTCTTATTAAAACTGACTTCATCCAGGACATAAGATTCTTACATCATCAGCCAGTAGAATGCTACTAACTAGTTTTCATCAAACTATTAAATTTTGAATTGCAGAAACCACCAGTTCTTTATAAATATGGCACGAAGCTGTTCGAAGACTACATCTTCTACTTCCCTAGGCAGAGGCTAAGTGTTGCAGCCTCTGGCCTTTAAGTGTTATGCTGTTTTCACTACTGTTGTCTCTCCTCCCGGATGTAAAAGCAGCAGAATATGCAGTCTCATCGGTTGGCTGACTGAACACTTAGGAGGACCACAGATACGTTTGTGTACATTAAGAAATGAGTTTGCATTTTGATTTTTTAGCCTACAATCAGCACCTTAACACAATAGGTAGTCAGTAAACATTTGTCAGATAAATACATGACAGGAGGGTGACTAGGCCTGGTCCAAAATTCAGAATTAAATCCAAAATCTGGTCTTATGTCCAAGGCCACCTCTGATTTACTGTCATGGATATTTTTATCCCCAAAATATCCCCAAATTGGCTCTCTGGTCTGACTCCCTCCAGGTTACCCTTAACCATTCCATAGGGCCCAAGTGCAACTTGAAAATCTCATCTGTTGGCCAGGAGACAAGTCCCTTCTACCAGCTCTCTAGCCCCTCCCCAACCAACTCAGGGCCAGGCTCAAGGCTCAGTCTCCACCCTGTGCTCTCCTCCCAAGGAGGCCTTCGCAGTGGGCCTTGACTGCCACCTCCACACAGAATCTACATCTGTTTAAAAGTTCTCCCTGGCCCCACCTGTGTAGCCAACTGTCATAGCAACATTTTCACCTTTAAGTTATCCTCAACTTACTTGCTTAAAAGACACACCTCGACTTCTAGGAAAATCAACTCTCCTTCCTGACATATCTAGCCTGCAGGACAGACCTTCAAGGTCTTCCACCCTTCCTCTCTTCCAATGCAGAAGAACCTCACAGCCACAAAATCCTGTCAATTTGTAATTGCAACCTGCTCCTCATCCATCCTTGTGTCTGTGCACAGATAAACATGTGTTTCACCCTGCAGAGCCTTCACAAATCCTGCAAGTGTTTCATCCCATCATTTCCCACGAGTCAAAACTTTGCTGGTGTCTACAGCCTAGTCTCCATCTTCTAAGATCAGCATTTGAAGCCCTTGCAGGCTTCCCCAGCTTACCTTTTCAGTATTGCTAAAATGTTACCTAATAGGGGAATATACTAAGCATACCAAAACAGAAAAACATGACATTTCAAGATATTTCATAAGTAGTCATGAAAAAAAAGTGGAAGGACTTTGTTATTTTGAATTGAGGGGAGGTGGGGGTGGGGAGTCAAGACAATTATAATCTTTTTCAGTGCTTAAGACCCCTGAAGATCTTCATTCTATGTTTCAGGCCTATCTACAACCATCTTCAGCACAGCTGACCTTGACAGAAGGCAGGATGTCACAATCTGCCTTGTATCAAGGTCATTAGTATCCATCTTCAATAATGTGTAAGCATTCTTCATGTCTGTTACATTCCCTGATACAGTCCTAACAAAATCAGTCCACCTTGGAGATGACTTTAAGGATTATTTCACTGGTTTGTGGCAGGATTGCAGCACTGGTGAGGCAAATACACCGCCCCCCCCACCACCACCACCAGCAATGAGAGAACTCGACAGCAGGTAGCTAGAACTTTCTGTGAAATCACTGGAAAGTGATGGCAAGTTATGTTTCAGAAGCTTCTGTGGGCAGAATAGTTGCTACAAAGAAAAAATGCTACTTCCTTTCAGAAAAAAAAAAAAAAAACAGGGCCATTTTTGTATTGAGGGACTTCCCTATTGCTTGTCTTTTTGTTTCAGGTGGGTGTGTTGCCTTTGAAAGAACCCTTCAGCTGCAATGGAAGATAGGAATCTTACATTCCTTGAAAGCTGCACTTCTCCCCAGCCCTCCAGCCTGTCCCTGACCTTCCTCCCCATTTCCTCCAAGGGTCATGGATGATGTCTGGGGTAGATCTGACCCTGGGACAATTAGACAGCTGCAGGCCACAAGGCTTTCACATTGAGTCATTCCCCACCCCACCCCCAGTGGTGAGGGTTGGAGCCTACCCAGGGCTCGGTCTAACTCAGATGGCATCTTTCCCAGCCACCCCACATTTAGTACCCGAAAGTTTCTAAAACAATCAAGATGCTTGGCAGGGCCTCTGGTACCTGGGTGGGGCCCCTAGCCTGGTGTGGGCCAGCATCCCTTTGGCGGTGAGGCATCAGGGCAGGGCCGAAGCTGCCACCACCTTCTGTCCCCTCTACCCCCTCTTACCACACACTCCACCCAAGGTCTCAGATGGAATTCACCATGGCGACACTGGGCACCCTGAACTGTGCCACCACAGTTGCCCAGATGGGGCGCCTATTTTTGTAGATCTCCAATGCAACCTAACAACCACCCACTTTGAAAGGAAGGTCCTGCGTGAAGGAGAAGCAGCCAGCCAGCCAGAAGGGAGTGTGTCTACATGATGCCACCGCCCAGGAATGGAGGGAACCGGCACGCTCAGACCAGCACGGGAGGGGCTTCCACTGAGGCTCTCATTAGATCCCCACACCACCATTATCTAATAGCAATTATTTCCTTTTTAAGACATAGAAATTGGGGTCCATGATCAAACAGCAATCGAAAGATAAAGCTGATAACTTAAGTCAGAATCTCACCACTAACAATCTGATCTGTTTGTTCACTGAACAGAAACAGATGCAATGATATGTAAGAAATGTATGTATAAATTTGACATCACAACACAAAGCAGAGGTTTGTAACAGCAGTAGTGTGTTTGAACTTGGGGCTTTGCGTAAAAGATGTATTTTGTTGGGTTTTTTTCTTTTAAAAGATGTAATTTAATAAATTATGTTAGGAAAGCTGATTAGCAATCTGAAAAAACAGTTCGACACTGGTGGATTTAAAAAGACTAAAGAAAATTATTTTTTAAAATACAAGTGAATGTTCTCACATCATCAAAGAGAAAGTAACATTCTAAACTCAAATTGCTAACAGCGACAAATTTTGTAAAGCTAAAAACTTTGGGGAAACGTGAATGAATAAGCGTGATGACAATTCATTCTAAATAGTCCGCACAAGTTAACGGGAAATATGGAAGGTCATTATATGTACGTTTCTGAAGGACAGGATTTGACAGTTCACCTCATGTGAGGAAGATTTTTCCATATTATTTTTAATCAAGTAAATGCAAAAGGAAGAACCGTTTCGCCTCATTACTACCTAGAAAAATGGAAAAAAACACAGATTGCTGATGAACACAAACAAGACTGTGAACCTAACACCCTCATACAATGCTGCTGCCATTCTAGGTTGCTAATCACTGTAATTTGTCCCAAGCAACAAAAATTTTCATGGCCTCTGGCCTACACAAGGGCATGTATAATATGAAAGAGTATGAAAGAAGAAAAGTATTTATTAAAAATTACTATAACAGCAAAAAATACATACATGAAGAATAACATGAAATGTGAAAAAAATTTTCAAGGATAATGGGATTACAAGTATATTTTTTTAAACAAACGAAGTTTTTTACTTTTGAAAACATCCTTAACTGGGTGAAAGAAATTCACCTGGGGTTGAGGCACCAGGTCTGGGGTGACTTTTACATTCTGTAATGTGATTATACGGCCTTTATAATGAAAAAGGCAAATGTGGTTTTCAAAAAATCTCCCCAAAGATTATTTGTATAGAAAAAAAATTATTATTTGGGGGGGAAAATTGTAACACCTTAAATATATCCTGTAAGGGGCAGAAATAAACCTACTCCTGAGGTGATCACCCCCAGATACATGAAATCCCAAGGGCAGGGCAAGCCTGACCCACATAACAGTCAGACAGACCCTGGGTTCCAGCAGAGGGCAGACAGGAGGCCGTGAGGAGACTGTGGGGCTGGGATCAGAGAAGGCTCCGGAGGTCAGACAGTGGCCAGCTTAGCTGGTAAAGATGAATGTTCAAGCAGACTTGTTTACAGTCCTGTGGGGGGCTCCCCCTGAAGGGCAGAAGAGAGAGTAGTGGTGAGTTGGCCTTGATCACCAAAACCAGGCTGGGCACTCCAGGCGGCCAGGCCCAGGGCAGCGTCTCTGGCTCCAGCCTTCGCAGCTTTCTCCCCTCCAGACAAGTGAGACCCACTGTGCCCGGCCCCAGCAGACACAAACCGTCTGTCTGGCACAGACTTCCCTTGGGTATGAGACCACAGCTCAGAAGCAAGAATCTGTGTTTTTAAAATAAACAACCTACTTCTACTTCCCCTCCCCCCCCTCACCGCTATGACCACCCACCCCATTCTTTTCACCTGATGGTTTCTTTGCTGCTTATCTGGAGCATTCAGGATCACTCATGCTCTCTGAGCCCGAGGGGAAGTGATGTCCGGGGGTAGGCACTGGAGCTGACCCTGACTGGCCAGCCTCCGTCCTGCTGGCCTTTAGGGGAAGGAGGCTACAGCCTGCAAGGCCACCCACGATGTGGACACCATGCACCATCAATCATGTGATCAGACATTAGAAAAACTGCTGAGACTCCAACACTCCTCAGGTGTCCATCCTGGGGATGGGATGGGGATGGGGATGGCCGCCTGTCTTGCCTGCTTTCCCCAGCATGTAATTGATTTGGGAGACAAATTCTTGACAGGAACGGCCCAGACATACGCATACCTGACTGTCCACAACCCATACCCATTTTCCAGCTCCCTGGGGATCTCCATACCAAGGCAGCAATTCGTCCATTTTCTCAGAACGATCCTGGCTAATTATGATAGTATCTCTTTGACGCCCTAAAGCATCCTGTTATGGATCATAAATTATTTCATCATCCTACCTCAAAGAGCATCAAGCTGATTACATATTCATGTCCTCCTCTGTTCCTGACTTCAAGGTCACAGTACTCACACAGTTTAGTCCCTAAGCAGAGAAACCCCTATCTTCAACTCCTCTCTGCTGACATCTGTGATGTTACAATTTTACTTAAAGCCAGGTTCAGTAGCACACACCTGTAAACCCAGCACTCAGGAGGCTGAGGCAGGAAAATCATGACTTTGAGGCCAGCTTGGACTATACAGTGAGTTTAAGGCCAGGTTGGGATGGATATACAGTGAGACCCTATCTCAAAACAAAACAAAATTACCACTTGAATAAATCCTCTCCTTTCTTTCCCACTATCAATAATCTTATTTCAGAAACAAACAATTAGAACAGTCTCCTATGGGGTCTCCCTATCTTGAGCCTCCCCCCTCTCCAATCCACTGGGATTTCCAAACATAGGCTGATGTCTGGTGTCTTCACCACCCCACCACGCCACTGCACACTACCTACAGAATGAAATCCAAACCGGTCATGATCTGGTCCAACCACCTTGCCTGTTTCAGTCCTTCCACCCTCCTCCTCTAAGCTAAGCTCACGTTCCTCCCTGTCTCAGCATCCTTGCTCCTTTTACTCCCTCCTAGTCCCACCTGTCCTCTCTATTCTGCCACCATTTTTGACTTTTGGGGAGAGGTTTTTTTTTTTTTTTTTTTTTTGTCTTTTCTTTTTTTGGTGCTGGGATCGAACCCAGGGCCTCACGCATGCTAGGCAAGCGCTGTACCACCGAGCTACATCCCAGCCCCATTTTTGACTTTTGGCTCTGCCCTAGCACTGACCCAGTGTCACCCCCTGGGCAGCCTTTTCTGGTGCACTCCTCCCATGAGAAGTAAGCTCTAAGTGCACTGTGTTTTCAACATGCATGACTGTTTGGCTGCAGGCATGATAGCCACTGCACATGCTCAGTGTGGCGCTCTCCTGCCTCGGCCATGGACCTGGAAGGTCATCTCTTGCAACGCCTCCAACAGTGCCAGCTACAAGGAGGTCGCCATTCATAAAATTGACAATACACATCCAATTTTCAACACATTCACCCAACACACCAGTTGCTCAGTCCTGGTGACAGCTGGAGTGACTGTGGGAGGATGCATCACTGTCACATTAGCTCCAACACAGCATGGGGGGGCAATTCCCTAAGAGGAATTCAAGTGTAACGGGAGTGCAGCTCTCCTGGAAGAGAAGGAAGACGCTGTCCCTCCCCCCTCCTCCAGCCCCACCGCCCCATTCAAGGTCAGACTTAAGGAACACTGGTCTCCATGACTTGGTTCATGAAGGCTCTCGCCCCGCTCTAAGCTCCTGACTCTCATTTAGGACAAGTTTGCTGCTTCATTAGATGTCATCTTGTGTGATCCATGTTCCACGTTCTGGGTAGGTTTGCAAGATGGGCACAACAGGGAAAAGCAAGATTTGAATCCCAGGCTCTTGTCCCTTTCAGCAGGATAATCCCACTACACCCCTTGCTCTCTGGCTTAAAACCCTCTCACAGGGCTCCATGAGGACCAGATTTGGACAGAAAAGCCACGTAGGAGTAAGACATTTAGCCCTCGGTCTCAGGAGGCCAAAAGTGGGTGAAGAGCTCTGGGGGCCAAAATCCGATCAGAAGGCAGACCCCCAGGGCTGGCTCCCCACCCCTCCTGACCCCGGAGGGCTCCAGAAAGCAGAGCTCCTCTTTCTTGAAGAACAGGTGAATGGAGGGAGGTTGAGGCACAGAGCCCTCCCTCCTCCCCAAACGGCTTCATCCCAGGTTCTGTCCCCTTGCCTCTAAGAAAAAAACAGCAAGGTGGAAACTGAGAACAGACTGGGGATCCCAGGCACCACCATCTCTTGCGTGCGACCTGACATCAGAGCCTCCCCCAACCCCAACCCGATAATATAACAGATCAGTAAAAGGAGGCGACAGGCCAGGCTCGCCCTGGAGGCAGAGCGCTCTGAAGACTTTTCCTCGAGGGCCCAGTTGTGAAATCCCCTGTGTCCCTCCCTTAGGACCATTCTCACCCCCCGAGCCTGCCCCTCCCGCCCGCCCTTCCTGCCCACCCCTTGCCCTGGGCGGGTGGCGGTGGCAGGAAGGGAGGTGGCTGGGCACTTGCGTGAGCAGCAAGCCCCCTCCCTGCTCAGAGCCGCTCCGCCTGCAGCGTCCGCACAGGCCTGGTGGCCGGGCCATGACCCCCAGCGAGCCCTGCAGCCCCAGCCCGGGGCCGATGTGGTGGGACTACTCGGGCTCGGGCGCCCTGGAGGAGCTGGAGCCGTGCCCATCGTGGGAGCTGCCCTATGGCTACGCCTACATCCCCGCGCTCTACCTGGTGGCCTTCGCCGTGGGCCTGCTGGGCAACGGCTTCGTGCTGTGGCTGCTGCGCCGGCGGCGCGGGCCGCGGCGGCTGGTGGATACGTTCGTGCTGCACCTGGCGGCCGCGGACCTGGGCTTCGTGCTCACGCTGCCGCTGTGGGCCGCGGCGGCGGCGCGCGGGGGTCGCTGGCCCTTCGGCGAGGCCCTGTGCAAGCTGAGCAGCTTCGCGCTGGCGGGCACGCGCTGCGCAGGCGCACTGCTGCTGGCCGGCATGAGCGTGGACCGCTACCTGGCCGTGGTGAAGCTGCTCGAGGCGCGGCCGCTGCGCACCCCGCGCTGCGTGCTGGCCGCGTGCTGCGGCGTCTGGGCCGTGGCGCTGCTGGCCGGCCTGCCCTCCCTGCTCTACCGGCGGCTGCAGCCCGGGCCCGGGGGCGCGGGCAGCCAGTGCGGGGAGGAGCCGTCGGACGCCTTCCAGGGCCTCAGCCTGCTGCTGCTGCTGCTCACCTTCGTGCTACCGCTGCTCGTCACCGTCTTCTGCTACTGGCGCATCTCGCGCCGCCTGCGCAGGCCGCCGCACGTGGGCCGCGCGCGGAGGAACACGCTGCGCATCATCTTCGCCGTGGAGGGCAGCTTCGTGGGCTCCTGGCTGCCCTTCAGCGTCCTGCGGGCCGTCTTCCACCTGGCGCGGCTCCGGGCGCTGCCGCTGGCCTGCCCTCTGCTGCTGGCGCTGCGCTGGGGTCTCACCATCGCCACCTGTCTGGCTTTCGTCAACAGCTGTGCCAACCCGGTCATCTACCTCCTGCTGGACCGCTCGTTCCGCGCGCAGGCCCGGCACGGGGTCTGCCGGCGCGCGCGTCGCCAGGTGCGCAGGATCAGCTCGGCCTCGTCGCTCTCCAGGGACGACAGCTCAGTGTTCTGGGGCCGGACCAAGACGGCGAGCACTACCTCGGCCTCCTGGTAGCCTCCCCAGGGCGACGGAGGTGGGCAGCAGTGGGATAGAGGTCACAGGGAGGGGGATTGTGCCCCTCCCCCATGTGCCTGTGCCCCTAGGGTCTCCTCCAGCAGCCTTCATTCTGTAACCTCCAGAGCCCTTCGAGCTCCCAACCCGGCTGCTAAGACTGTTATCTTAGCCTGTGTGCACCTGAGTTGATTTTTCTCTAGTTCATTCGAGAAAGATCTTGGCAGGCTGCTGGTGGCTCGCGTCTGTAATCCCAGCTGCTGTGGTGGCAGAGATCGGGAGGATCGCCGTTGAAGGCCAGCCCCAGCAAAAACCAAGACCCTATCTCAAAAAATACCCAACACAAAAAAAGGGCTGGTCAAGAGGTTCAAGCAGTAGAGCACCTGCCTAGCCAATGTGAGACCCTGAATTCAACCCCCATACTGCCAAAACCAAAAGAAAAAGAAAAAGATCCTATGAGGTGGTACAGACAGCAACCTGGGGACCCTGGGATCACTAAGTAGATAAAAGGGAAGTGGGTTTCCTTCTCTGCCCCACCCAGCCTAGCACCAACCAGAATACCCAGCCCAGACTCCCAAAGGCCACACTCTTGACTCTGTCTATGTTTTCTCTGGTCTCCTTCAAAGCCTCTGGCCTCTTAAGAAATTCCTTCTCTAAATCAGACCTTGCAGCCCTCTCACTCTCCAGAAAATTCTGTAGAACATGAGAACCAGCAGCTCTTGTGTACTGGGTCATCTTTGCAGCGTTGTTGGCTGGATGGTTAGTCACCAGCAAGTCAAAGCTTACCAAGGACATGGAAACTAGCCCTGGTGTGAGTCACCCAATTTGCTCCTTCTGACAGGTCCCCAGAAGTGGTGCCTGCCTTGGTTTTGTATCTGGTAACCCTCTCCCCTCTGTGGCAGAGCTGCAGGACTCACCCTGGTAGTTGTTCTGGCCTTTCCTCTGGATCCAGGAATCCAAAATCTCCCAGCAGGTGTTCAGATTCCCCATCATTCAGCCAGGGACCCCAGATTCTCTTGTGAGCTCACCTTTTTCAATAAACATTTTCGCTAGCCCTGGCTTGACAACTGTGTCATTACTTGAGTAGTGAGAGTGAAATGAGTGTCAGGAGGCGGTTGGCACCCTCAGCCAGACAAAACTCAACTTGGTAGTGGAGGCAGACTTCAGGATGATGGGGGTTTGTGTGATGTGGGGACTGTGACAGCCAGCTGCATTTGAGTGGGCACCATAATTCCTCAGAAGGGCAGAAATTGCTTATTCTTACTCTTTTTAAGGGTATTTCACACTTTGAATGTCATAGAATGAGACTAAAACAAAAAAGGTGCATGTCACCCTGCCAGGTGTCACTTCAATGAGGAGATGTATCATTTTGATTTTCAAATGTGCATTGGAACTTTTCCTACCATTTGAGAGAACGAGTGTTTGGGATTAGCTATTTCAGATTCTGATTTATCCTTTGAGGTTTCTCGAAGGCTTGGAAATTCTCTGCTTGTACTTTTGATTTGAGAAGATTTGGCCTACGGAGATTTCAGTCAGTGCAGGAAGGAACGCAGTGTTTCTACTGTTCTTCAGAAGGAGGGCCTAGCCAGATCCCGGTAAGGCCATTCTAGAAGCTCGGGCTCCAGGGAAGTATCCACACATATCAGTGCTTTGATGCTAGGTTGGTCTGAATCCTGGCTTGCTTTCTCAGGCTGTTTAACCCCAACACACACACACACACACACACACACACACACACACACACACACACACAACTTACACACACACACACACACACACACACACACACCTTACACCACCGCCTTCTCTCCAGCATTTGGGGCCGTTGAGTTGGAGCAGATTGACCATCACAGTCCACCTTGACCCTGCCTGTCAAAAAGTGAAGCTATGCACTCTCCTCCCACACACCCTGCAAGCGGCAAGCCTTGCAGCCTGTGGGTCACCTGGGCCAGCAGGATGTATTTCAGACACTTTTGTATGTGAGAGCTCAGTTACATCACGGCCCTTCCTATCCTCACCATGTGCTCCCTAAGGTAGGAGCTGCTCTGTTTGCTATGGCTGAGGCCCTGGAGCCTTCAGGATAGGAAGGTTGGCCCTCATCCCGGCATGCCTGGCAAGATCCGGGTTTCCAGAGCAGGTGCGTTTCTTGGCTATTGGGGACCACCACCACCACCACCACCATCACCACCACCAAGTTCTCCTGCTTTCCTAATTGAGCTCCCTGAAGACAGATAGGCTTCTCCAGGCCTGGAGGCTTTCCCTCTCCTTTCCTGCAGGAGGTACTGAAGCTCAGCTTTTCTTTCCCTTTGAGCAGAGTACTGAACTGGTCTCCCATGTGTTGTCCCTTGGAAATGCCTTCCCATATTCAGGCCAGGAGGAAGATGGGGCACAGATGTAGGAGCCGGCTAAGTCAGCACTCCCTTGGATGTTCCTGGGGCGGGAGGGGGGCAGGGGGGATGGTAACAGGCTGTAGGTTCCTTAAAAAGCAATTGTCCATCTATATCGAGAGCTTTAACAATGTCCATATCTGTCCCTCCAAGATGTCTGTACCTTTGACCCTCAGTCACTCTTCTAGTGCAGTAACACTAGATAATAAAATTTCGATGCACTGAGTTAGAGAAGTTTTTAAAGACTTAAATCTGGAAGGAAACAATCTAAATGTCCAAGAATAGGGTTATGCCTTCATGAGTATGCCTATTATGCAAATTTGAAAACGTCACTTGATACTTGATGTTGAAAAAAGGTAAAATTGCAGAAGTTAAATGCACTCTCACACTTCAAGCCTGGAAGTTTTGTTTAAGGAAACCATTACATGTCTCCTAGTCCTTTTGATAAAAGCTACATTTTGCTCTTTTCTTTTTCATCTCCCAATTTTTTTCTTTTTTTTTTTTTTTGGCAGCACTAGCACTGGGGTTTGAACTCAGGGCCTCACGAGGGCTAAGCAGGTACTCTTACCACTTGATCCACTCCACCAGCCCTTTTTTTGTGATGGATTTTTTTGAGATAGCATCTTGAGAACTGTTTGCCCAGGCTGGCTTCAAACCATGATCCTCCTTATCTCTGCCTCCTGAGTAGCTAGGATTACAGGCGTGAGCCACCAGTGCCCGGCTCATCTTCCGAGTTTTAAACATTATAGGTGTGACTCTTTTCTCTCCGTACTCACTAATAGAACATCACATATTTCTTTGTTTATTGTTTGTCTCTCCTGCCCCCCCCCAAATCAGAATATAAGCTCCATGATTGCAGGGAGTTTTGTCATTTGATTCTATGCTTTGTCCCCAGTGCCTGGAGCAGGGACCGTCAGGACTCTATCTTCATGTGAATAACGTGGTATCGTGTGAAGAGTAAAAGGAAGGATGATATATTTTATGTATGATACAATAGCTGCATCTTATTAACAGGCACAAGAGAAAGACTAGAAGTGTGAACAACGGTCACATTCGAGCAAAGAGGATTATGGAGCCTTTTCCTCCTCCATTTTTTATTTTCAAATTTTTCTATAAGCATTTCTTTTTTTCCTTTTTTTTCTTTTTTGGGGTACCTGGGTTTGAACACGGGGCTTTGCACTTGCTAAGCAGGCACTTTCCAGTTGAGTCACACATCCAGTTATGAGCACTTTTTTCTTTTCTTTTTTTTTGTGGGAATTGGGTTTGAACTCAGGGCCTACACCTTGAGCCACTCCACCAGCCCTTTTTGGTGATGGGATTTTTCAAGATACGGTCTCTTGAACAATTTGCCCTGACTGGCTCCAAACTGAGATCCTCCTGATCTCTGCCTCCTGAGTAGCTAGGATTACAGGCGTGAGCCACCAGTGTCCAGCAGTTTTAAGCATTTTTAAGGGCAGTTAACAAATAGCAAAGTTGCCAACACACAAATCTAAGATCACACCTGGGTCCTGGCTCCCACTGCCACAACCAGCTGCCTGTCCCCAGGCACGTCACTCACGCTCCTGAGTCTTCTAGTGTCTTCCTCTAAAGATGGAGCTGATAATATCTGCAGAGGCTGCCTCACAGATCAGAGGAAATCGTGGTCTTAAAAGTACTTTGTAAGCGTGGTGTTGTACACCAACCCACCACAGAGCCACCTTCAGACTAGCGTTCCAGGCCTGCTCCCCATCTCCTCACCTCAGCGAGAAGGCAGGGCGGCCCTGGGGTTTTGAAAGGTCAGCATCTGGCAAAGCCTGGCCCGTGGGTCCTGTGTGGTTCCGATTTGCTTCTTGTGACTAATTCTGAACTTTCTCCTCACCTCCCTCGACCCCGTGAGTCTGTTCTCAGGGCACAGGATGGGAACCAGGCCCGACTGATGAGTGATCTGGGGAGTTCAGAAGGCTGGCAGACCAGGGGCACCCGGCACTTGCTGATGTATGATATGACTCAGCCTCTCTCTCCCCACTCTGGGGGCAGAATGAGGACCCTGGACACTTGTGAGGACATCTCACTTCTTAGAGCTTCTCAGATCTAAGGCCCTGTTCTTCCTTGGCTGAGTGGCCTGCAGGAAGCTACTTATACTCCCCCAGCCCCTCCAGCCTCAGTCAAATGGGGCAAATGAAGAGAAGCCCAGGAAACACCATAACTAAGAGGGAAGGAGGAAGCAAAGATAGGAAATCACTCCTCCCCTCTGTTATCTTCAGAATCAAAAAGCACTTACGAGTCTGTAAATAGCTGAGATTTGTTTTTATATATGTCATGAATCTTTAGAGCTACGCACTAGATTTCCTCAGGTCTCCACTTCTGAAATTGTTTTTACCACAAAAACGGAAAATACAATATCAAGAGTGAAATAACTCGAGATTCTCCACTGCCTTGGAATAATTTTCATTTTTTATGCATCTTCTCTCTCTGTCGAGTTCACATGATGCAGTGCAGCTATGCTGGGTTCTGCCTTTTTAGTTTGGAGAACATTGGAGACACTTTTCTATGCCTCAATAAAGAGTTCAGAGTAGCTACTCTGGAGGTAGAGACAGAAGGATCACGAGTCCAAGGCCAACCCAGGCAAAGTTAGTGAGACCCTATCTCAAAAAACAAAATAAAAAACCCAAAAGGACT